GTTCCCACAATCCCTTTGGCCAGATAAGTCTCATCCTACAATATAATAATGGGGCCTGCCTCACAGAATCATTTTGCAGACTAATAAATCCACACACGTACATAGAAAAGAGCTTTCTCATTAACTGCTAGTGTTATATTCTATTTCCCTTCCATGTTAGAGAGGTTTAAAGATGAAATTCTCAAGCCTCTCAGAAAAAGGGGAACTAGCTGTTCTGTTGACCATCCGGCTTCTCACCACATTCTCAGCATAAGCTGATTCTAGGTTTAATGAGCCATGAACATTTATTGTTCAGATTTTGAGGAATAAAACATGGAGTGCCTCAGAGAGGGAAGAGCTTGGCCAAGAGACGAGGGAAACTGTTCTCCGGCATTGAGATGATGAGAGGAGGGGTGTGGGGACCCAAAGCAGCAGGGTGCTCAAGTCAGATTCTTGGATGAGGTGAGGAAATGGTAGAGTAGAAGATCACCTAAAACACCTATGAAGGGAACCAAAGGCCTCTGCACTTACAGGCTGCTCCAAAAAGCATGATAAAAATGGCGGGGGCCTGTCAGGTTGGATGTACCCATTGCAAATGGGACAATGGGTGTCTCCACTGAACCTGCCTGCATAAGTCATTAGAGATGAGAGGACCTTTCCCACTCTATCCCCACACTTCCAACATACTAAAGCCACACACACACACACACTTGGTACAGATTAAAACCATTCCCTAATTTGTTTTATGTGTGATTTCCTTCCAATTTTTGTTTTATGGTTTCTTTGGTTTTCTACTTACATGGATTTTGGGACACATTTACCTCATGACTTTTATCTAAGTCATCTTAAATGGATGGTAATTCAAAGCTGAGCTTGGTCAGTGGTCTAGGGAATCTAGTTTGCTGGAAGGTATGCTTGGTACGAGCTTTCTTGTGTTTAGAAGAGTTTGGAACTCAGCTGGATGTCTCCATGGGCCTCCTTTTGTGGGTCTCCAGACAGGGAAGCTTCCATAATTGCAAGAACACTGGTGAGCTTAGCACTTTCAACAACCAAACATCCTCTAATTTGTGAGGGAGGAACCCCAAATGTTTATGAGGAAATTAGGATAGGAGACTGAAAGTTGACCAAAATCAGGAAAAAAAAAAAAAAAGATTCAGGAGAGTAGAGAACCAAGAAAAGGATCTTAAAAGATAGAAAGGAATTGGCAAAGAAGAAAGGGAAAAGGCAAAGATTCCTCACAGGTTCATTCACTTCAACAAAGGTAAGAAGGATTATTGATCTGTGAAAACAGCAGCCTTTAAAGCAGATAGAGTTTATCAGAAGGTGCTGAGAATAAAATGAGAAGCATGATTATCAAATTATACATTCACTGCAGTGGCATTTTAATGGGGGGGTGTTCTGGGGGACAGCAGTAAATGCTCAGGAGAGAGAAGAGTAAAAAGTCATCTTAGAGGGATGACAAAGCTCGCAGCTGTGTATCAGATGTGGACAAGTGTTAGTGAGCACCGAACGGATCAGGAACCCTGCTTCCTTCACCGAGTGAACCCAGACCCACAGCCAGCCTTGAAAGAAGGAGGACTTCAGGAAATCCTCATGGTAGTGACATTAGATTTTGTTCATCAAGACTTGAGAAAACCCCCCTCACTCAGATCCCCTCTTTAAAGCCCATCTTCCCTTCATGAGCTTAGTCTGGCCTCCTCCCTCCCTCCCAAGCTCGGTGACACTGAGCAGCAGGATGGGTCATGTGGGTCTTCTACCTCCTGTGGTCCCCATCTGTGGAAGACCAAAGGCAAGGACCAAATAATGGGAAACAAGAGTGACCAGGAATAGATACCGACAGAGCAGAGCTTTCTGGGACAGGGTGGCCCCTGTCAGTTGCGTGTGCCTGGCATTGCCCCAATTAGGAACATCTCTGGAAGTTCTCAGAAGGCAGAGCCTGGCCATCTGCACCCCAGAGTCCACTCAGAGACCTCAGTCATCGCTTCCATGCCTGCATCTCGCCTGTGTCTGCTCAGAGTTTTCAGATTCTCCTTTCCTTCACATTTCTTTAGAGAAGCCAGGGTGGGTGAGGTGATGGGGGAAGGCTCAGGGCAGCCCAGACGTTCCTGCGGTCCAAAAGGACACCTGGCAATAACCTCCTACCTTCTGGCTCCTTCGATTTTCCCATTTGGAGGAGTGGTTACTTCTCAGTGCTTCCAACTGCTGGCTGGAGGTAGGCTGTTGCAAGGCATCTGAAGGCAAACAGCAATCCTTCAGATAGTCTGGCCCTTCCTGACTGACAAGAGAAGTCTGGAAGGCTCTCAGAAATACTGCTTGCTCCAGAGAAAGGAGGGACATAACACAATTGTGCAGTAACACCTGAATCGGGGAAAAAAAAAAAAGTGGTGCTGTATTCATACGGATGAATAACATTGAACAGTTAAAATAACAGACCTAGGTCAATTAAAAATTGATACAGATAAAACACGCAACCCTAGGACTGGTTGAAAGAAAATGTGATGCACAATGTTATATTGTGATTATATGTATATGAAAATATGGACTGGATACCTGCAAAACTCTGATACTGGTCACTTCTGGGAAGCTGGGGGAGGGGCACTAAAAATAGGTCTAGAAATGGTTATGTGTTTAAAAAGTATCTATAGGAGCCTCTGGGTGGCTCAGTCAGTTAAGCATCTGCCTTCAGCTCAGGTCACGATCCCAGGTTCCTGGGATGGAGCCCTGGGTCGGGCTTCCCGCTCAGCGCAGTCTGCTTCTCCCTCTCCCTCTGCCCCTCCTCCCGCTCATGCTCTATCTCAAAGAAATAAATAAAATCTTTAAAAATAAATAAATACATAAAAATAAAAAGTATCTATAAAATGAATTATTCAAGTTATCCTTGGAGCATAGGATTTACCTTCAATATCATCATTTACCCAGGAAACCCAAAAGAACACACAGATAAACTAGTAAGACAGTTCAATAAGCCAGGTGGATTCAAGGTCAGCGCATGGAAAAATCCGTCAAGTTTCTCTAGATGTAGCAATAACTGCCTGCTGCTGACTTGTAGTCATAGGCCCTCGTGTGACTCCGTGCTTTCCTGGGAAGTCTTCTCTCTCTCTCTCTCTCTCTCTCTCTCTCCCCCCCTGCGCAAGGAGAACAGCCGGAACTCTGTGTAACCTGCACACTCCCGAGTCCTGTGGAATCAACGCTAGGTGTTTGAAGCTGTCAGTGGAAGACCCAGGAAGGCACAGGGGGACGGAAGATTCCTGGGGGTCTCAAGGAGCAAAGGAACAAAGGGGAAGATGACAGAGCACAGCAAAGCCTGCCAGAGAGAGAGCAGAATCTCCCAGAGGGTGGTGTGAGTACAGAAGGGTAGACAAGCCTTAAATTCTGAATTCTTGGAATGACCGTTAAAGGGGGCACAGGGCATCTAGAGGCAGAGGGATGTGGACACGCAGATGGCACCCCCTTTGGAGAGGCTGAGAAGCTTGAAGCCAGTGAGGAAGCTGGAAGATAATAATGATGGTGCCCGAAATAGTGACAACAATACCAGATCACAGGAACAATGGCTGATTCAATAAAGCCCCATGAAAGTCACCTTTCAGCTCCTGGAAAAAAAATCCATGGGACTTTGGAATTAGACCTGGTTCTGCTTCATTTTACAGAGTCTCTGAGCTTTGAATTATTTCCTTCTAATTCCATCAGTCCTCTGAAGCCTGGCTTTGGCCCCCTACTCAGATTAGAAAGACACACGGCACCCCCCTTACCTCTCCGTCCATGGACAGCCTCATGCATTGAAATGAGTCTTCAGGCCCTCCCAGACATCTGTAGTTCTGGGGGCGCTGGTAGCAGTGGGGTAAGGATGAAGTTCAGGGATGACAGAGTCCCAAACTTGAGCAGCTAGAGTAAGAATTTATTTGGCAACTGACCCATTAACATCAGAACTAGAAATATCCAAGTTTCTTGGCTGAACCTCTGATTACAGCCGTGTCTTCCTCCAATTCCTAACTGTGGTCAGGTGGCTTCTTTTTGAGTGCCGTGACAAAGTCCCACCAACCCCAGAAGAAATTGTTCCAAGCACAGCTTCCACATGAAGGCATCTCTCCTCTGCCCTGCTGCTTCCTTGCCAAGCCACAACTAAGAGGCCTCCGTCCAGGCCAGAACTGGGGAGACACGCACAGCACCCACCAGCTCCCTGAAGACCGTCCCAGTGCTTTCACTCACAACCCACAGGACACGGTTTCCAGAGCACCTGCTACTTACCAGCAACCTCAGTGGAACTCAGCGTGTTTGTCCTAGTCTCCTGCAAGATGTGGAAGCCAGCCTTGTGAAAATGGCCACAGGGAAGTCTCATCCGTCCCAGGGGCGTGAGTACTGCTGCTTCTGCAAAAGGACCGTGGGGGTCTTTGGCACTTACATGAAACCTGGTTCGCCAGCCGCTAGCGAGACCAGTGCACATGGTGGATAGACAATTTTGACTCAAGAATATATCCAGGTGAGGTTTGGAAAACAGCCTTTATTGCATAAGACATTTATATGGTCCTGTGATGCTAGACAGAGCGCTGGTTCCTTCGTCTTCCCTCACATCATCGGCATCCTGTCTGCTACTCTCCCCAGGGTCCTGTATTCTCCCTGGAAGCAATTCAACAGATAAGGCACAGCAGGAAGAGACAAAAGCAACGGGAGTCCCACTAGTCCGAGTAACCCTTCACCTCCATCTTAAAGCTCAGAGCCATGCACACCAGAGTGGGTTTCTTTCCAGAACAGCTACAGCCCAGTCAAGGTGCTAGAGCGTTTCCAGATCTCCTGGGGCCTCACTTCCGAGTTTCTCACCCCTCTCTCACTCTGGGACCTCTGGCTCTGGCCCTCATGCCTCAGACCTCTGCTCCCGCTAGGCCGCTTGTCCCCGCTTCACACCACCCCTGGCCCTTGAGGTTGTGCCGAGCTCTCTCAGTACCCCTAAATTCCTCCGCAACCTCATGACATTGGCTCAGATGATGCCAGCTTCAGGCCTTACCTCTCCCAAGAGAAGGCAACACCATCTTCCGGGATCTTCTGGCTCACGAATCTCGGTGGCTGTGTGGAAACCAGAACAAAGATGCTCCGTAATTCAAGAAGAAAAGTGCTCTGTTAGCCTGAAAAGTTCAGGATAAATCCCCACTTCCAGTCAGATCTTTATTAGAGGCCTGGACAAGAAGCCAGGGGCCGCAGTTACCTGTCCCGCCCCCAACCTTCAGGTGTCCTCTGAGCTCTGAAAGCCCCCAGCTCTCCCTCCCTGGAGGGGTGAGCCTGGACAGGAGAAACAGGGGCAGCTCGGAGAAGGCATGGCTCCCACAGCAGCACCAGCCCCTGCTCACTTCTTGTCCTTTGGAGAATGGAACACACAGCCTGGGCACTGGCTCCAAGGTCGCTTTGGGCTGAGGTCTTCCTGCGGGGACCGCTCGTCCTCCTTCTCCTTTTCCTCCTCCCGCCTCTCCTGCTCTTCCTCCCCCTTCTCATACTTCTCCTCCTCACAGGTGCCTTCTCCTTCTACGGTGCCTGTCAGCTGGGCCATGGTGAGGTGAAACACGTGGCAGCTGAAACCTTCCTGGATGCCATGCTGCACGTGCTCCTGGAGGAGCTCCAGGGTGGAGAAGACCCGGCAGCAGGCCATGCACCTGTAACCGGCCTCCATGGTCACCAGCCAGTCGGGGGTCTTGGCCCTGGGTCTCTCCTCAACCGCAGGCGACCCTGGTGGGCTGTCGGACTCTGCCCGTTCCTCGTGCTCCTTCTCCTCCCCGCTGGGCTCACTGTCAGACAGCAGGTTTCTGGTGGACACGTCAGAGGGGGGAGTCCCTACCTGCACGTCCTCAGGAAGGGTCACTTCTTCTATCCTTGGCTGCTTTTCTAGTGACTCCGAGGTCTCCTCGGTCTCCCAGGAGACAGCCACGCCCTTTTTCATTTGTACCTGCATGTAGTATATTTTCATGCCCTTTTCCTCTTTGTTTGTGTGCAGAAAGGACACACAGGTTTTATAGGACGAAGGGGATGAAGAGACTTGGTGTGAGGGGGCAGCAGTCTCCCCTTGTTCTTGAACCTGGGTTAGGGGTGATCTAGGCTGGGGACCGTCTTGAGGTACTCGCCGGAGTCCTGAGAAAGGAAGTGAGAGACATAAGAATGTGAGTAGGGGGCGGGCCAGAAGTTGAGGGGGTCTTCACATGTGAAGATGCATGGTGTGGGGGGCCTGGGGTCAGTGTTCATACCCGGGGTGGGGTCATCTAGGCCCTTTTCATGCATGTGTAAGGATGTTGGCAGGGTATCAGTATCCAGGGCTGTGGAGCAGTGTGGCAAGGGGTTGTGGAATGTCTGGGATGTTGGTGGGTTGTGTGTTATCTGTGATACCATCGGTGTGCTTGTGGAATGTGGACAGTCATGTAGGAAATGGTGCTGCGGATCCCATGTGTCGGGGGCAGGAGTTGTGTGCTGAGAATGAATGTACATGGTGTGGAGTACAGCTGTGTGCCTCAGGGTGCAGGGATCTGAGCTGGACGGTCCTGCTCCAGGGCTGGAGACCTGGGCTGAGGAGCTCTGTCCTTCTTTGGAGGCAACGGCAAAGGCACAACCTACATAGCTCCTCATCCCATCTCTGGGCACCATATTTCCAGCCCAGATCTTTCTGGCTCATGCTTCTTAACATCCCCACTGTGGTTGCAGCAGGGATCCCCTCCACACACACACACTGAGCTCATACCCACGCTCTCCTAACAGCGATGCCAGCTTCCCGGGCTCCTCCGAGGAGCCCTGACCACCTCTGATTGTCTTGGGTTTCTTCTTGGCCTCTCCTGGGTCTATGTGCCCCACACCCAAGGAACCCTGAACCCTTACCAGCACAGATGAGCTTGCGTGGAGAAGAGACACAGGAGAAGTATTCAGAGGCAGAGGACAGCTCCCCCACCGCCGTGTCCCAACTTTTGGCCACCCCAGTTGATTCAAGCTGAGGAGCATCCTCCTGTGACTTTGAGACCCCTGGAAAGATAGGAAAGCCTCAGAAATATGGTGAGTGGGCCATGTCTGGGCATCATTTGTCCGTCCAACAAATATCAACCAAATGATGTATGTCAAGTGCAGTGAATACACACGGTTCAAAATCTGGTCCCGGGTGGCTACTCCTGTATTGAATTACTATCAACACTTATTTTGTTAGTGTCTGCTTAGGATTGAAGGCTTGAGTAGGTCTGAAATGTGAACATCGTGTGTATCAGCCAAACCTTTCACAAATGTGAGGGTGGCGTGATGAGGAGGGTACACACGCATCGGTGTGGTGTTTGGAGCAAAGTTGGTGTTCACAACTCCAGAATGGGGTGACACATAACCATTTTATAGAATATGGTATGTACTTATGGTGTGTAGTCAATCATTTATTCATTCACTCAAAAATAGAGAGTAGCTACTATGTATCGGGCATATGTATCAGCTACTATTCTGGGCTCTGGTAAGGCTGAACATTCTAGTAGAAGACAGACACTAGATATAAGTACAGTAAACGTATGATATGTTAGCTGGTATTAAGTATACAAGGGTTGCCAGAGTTAGCAAACAAAAACAGAGGATACCCAGCAAAATTTGCATTTCAGCTAAACCACAAACAATTTTTTAGTGCAAGCTTTCCCCATATAATACTTGGGTGATGCCTATTTTTAGTGTAAGTATGTCCCATATGGCATTTTGGGATATACTCATACTCCAGAGCTCAGAGTAAGAGGAGAGGACTTTGACACCCGTGGATGGTTTGTGAACACAGTGCAGCAGTGACGTGCATATCTACCTATATGATCTGTGTGTGGTTTGATAAAATCGGGTGTGCAGAGATGTGCAACTTTTTTTCTGTACAAAGTGTGTATAGGTGTATAAGTGATGCTCTCGTGAAATTCCCTTATTATGAGTTCTGTATTCACGCTTACGTGTTTTGAATGTCTCCCAGATCCAGGCATGGTGACAGAAACTCTACAAGGCCGACTTCACATCTGAGGATACTCTATCCGCATTCTCCCCACTGCTCCCCCCACCCATCATACACACAGAGGCAAAAATACCTCACCAATCACTGCCTTTTCTGTCCTACAGCTGCTGCCTGAAAATCTGCCTCCTGTCCAGGCCTCCAGTCCCAGGGCTCATCCTATATGCCCAGCCCTGTGCCTTGCGGAAACTGCGGGCCTCCGATATGGGCCAGAAGGCTCCGGCAGGCTTCCTGGGGTGGGCTCCATTCTGCCCGCCTCCCAGTGTGACCACACCCTCTCTTAAGGCAAGCTACTAGTTTACAGAGACCCTGGGGAGTAAATCCACAGCTCTCAGAGCTCCCTGCAGCGCCCTGACACCATTTCTCACCCCCATCCATCTGAACCTAGTCTCTGAAAGGACCTCCCTTCCCCTAATCACCACTGCTGAACCCCACATCTGTAGATCACACAGACTCCTACGGATCCGTTGATAAATTTTTCCTGCTGAAGGAATACCATCTCCATGCTTTCAGTATGATGCCATCGCTAGACAATCTCCTTTCTTGCTCCTCAAAATCTTTTTCAACAAGGCTTCTCCTTGCTCTTTGGTAAAAGGGACAGCGGAACCCATAGATCTTCATCGGCATCCTTCACAACCTCCCTGCCCCCACCCAGTGACCCCAGAGGAAGGTGGAACAAAGAGAATGAGAGAGAATACAGAACTGAGAAAAGCCATCCACTGTAAGTCTGGGCAAGTAGGACCCCGGCCTGCGATGAGTCCAACAGAGCTCCAGCCCCGAGCGCCTCAAGAGAGAAGTCCTCAGACGGGCAGTGCTGACCCCCTCCAGGCAGGGGCACGTGGCCCTCCCATGCCATCTCACACCACAGGGATGCTCAGGAGGGACACGACAGCGTCCTTGGCTACGTCCCCAGGGACACGTCCTCCTCCACCCCAGCTTCCTAGAGAAGGTCCAGGCTGGCAGCAGCCTTTGTGCCCCAGATAAGGTGCCCAGCGCATACCTCCTCCCTGCTGGGCACCTTCCGGGGACTCTTCACTTTCCAGATGTTTCCTCTTCTGTCGCTGTTTCATGGTACCGGCGACAGGAGCTGCTCAGAAGATGCCTAACACCCAGCTCCTCTTTCTCCCTACTGGCTGGCCCTCTTTGACTCTCAGGAAATTCGCTGAGGTGACCCGAAAGGAATAAGAATTGTCGAGTGTCCTAAACGGCTGAGGAACTCAAACCACGCAGAGAACCAGCAACACCGCCCAGTGCCTGCTCCAGCACAGGGCTGTTAAGGTTCAAAGGTCACCCGGCCCCCAGCGGGGGTTCTCTGACCTGAATGATGACATCAGAGCATTCTGGGGACCTGGATCCCACGCAGTCTTTGCAAATGCACGGACCCCATGTTCAAGAACAATTCCTTTTTCACCGGTGGAACCTCTCCCATGAATTCAACTCACATCTTCTTAAGAGGGGTAGGGTACTTTGAGATACTCATCTGCTGGTGTTTCATTTATTTTCCCCTTTCTCCCTTTATCATTATTATTTTTTTCCCTTTCTCTTCTGCATTCAGGCAGGTAGCAGACTCTGTGTTCTCTGGCCAGAGGAAAGGCATGGCAGGGCTAAAAGCTGCAAATCATACTCATCCCCTTGGCTTTTATTTCTAAAATCCCCAACTCCACAGATAAGACAGGGCACTTGAGCAGAAACCTAACAGAAGCAGGATTCTTGAAATTCAGTACTTACTGTCTTCTTTTTCTACTAGCTTGTTGAGAGGTACCGACTGTCAGAGAGAAGTCTGTGGACCACAAAGGAGGAGTCTCCAAGGCGTGGTTAGAGTGGAAGATGTGGAGAAAACTCCACGAGGAGAAGGCTACATTGTGCATACAGGCAGAATCATGGCAACCTGTCCCACATGTCACCCAAGAACCACCAAACCCAAAGGAGGCACGGCAACCAAGCTGCAGGACATCGAAGCTGTAAGTGTGTCCTCCCAATAAACCGTAACCATGCTCTCACCTCAACCTTCATTCACGGTGGCCCTGTATGACCTCCCAATAGGGATGGTGGAAATCCAAAGGGGACACCAGCAGGATCAAGGCTTAACATAAAAATCAAATGGAGTTACAAAAACAATTCCATCCTCTTTCTTTTTTTTTTTAAGATTTTATTTATTTATTTGACAGACAGAGATCACAAGTAGGCAGAGAGGCAGGCAGAGAGAGAGAGAGGAGGAAGCAGGCTCCCCACTGAGCAGAGAGCCAGATGTGGGGCTCAATCCCAGGACCCTGGGATCATGACCTGAGCCAAAGGAAGAGGCATTAACCCACTGAGCCACCCAGGCGCCCCTCCATCCTCTTTCTTGTGCACCTTGCTTGTGGACTGAAACGTCTACCAGTTATAAGTGGCGACCCAACTGCATGCTCTTGATTCCAGTCCAAAATGAGAGACACCTCCTTTTGAAGGTAGTACGCGTGTAGAGGGAGGAGGCAGACCTCCCCGAAGTCCCTGGCACCAAGAAGCCCGACTGGACCAAGGTGAATCCAGATCTGAAGGGCACTGCCATCACGGTCTCCAACAGCAGAGAGTGAAGACAGGACAAGTGCAGCCTTGCGAGGATTTGCAGATGAGATTCAACCTTCCTGTTTCTTAGAGAACCCCTAGGTAAGAAGGGGCAAGGAGGGCTTTTCAAAACTTCTTGAGGTAGAAATTTCCTTTTCTTTTTTTTTTTTAAAGATTTTTATTTATTTATTTGACAGAGAGAGAGCACAAGCAGCGGGAGTGGGAGAGGGAGAAGCGGCGGGGAGCCCGATGTGGGACTTGATTGCAGGACCCCGGGATCATGACCTGAGCCAAATGCAGACACTCAACCAACTGAGCCACCCAGGTGCCCTGTGGTAGAAATTTTCAAGCATACACAAAGTTAAAAAAAAAAAAAAAAAAAGTTGTCTAATGGGGATGTGGCTCCATGGACCTATGACCCAGGTTGAACCATTATCAATATTCTGTCATTCTCGTCCCATCCCCACACCCCTCCCCCACACCACATACACACAGTGAGCTTTTCCTTCGATTGTTCCAGTTTAGATGTTTCTGGGAGTGTGTAGGGGTGGCGGAAGAACTGTGTTTTGAAGAAAATCTCAGATGTGTCCTCTCTCTCTAAATGCAACAGTATTTATATCCAATAGATGAGGAGATTTTTGTTGTTGTTGTTGTTGTTGGGTTTTTGTTTTTGTTTATTTATTTCACAGAGACACACACAGCAAGAGAGAGAGAGAGAAGAGAACACAAGCAGGGGGAGAAGGAGTGGGAGAAGCAGGTTTCCCAATGAGCAGAGAGTTTTGCCTTACCATGAAAATTCCCACTGGTCCAGCTTGTTTTTAATGATGTTGAGATGGATCAGTGGGTTCCTGTGACGTCGATTTGATCCTTCCACGATAATGATCCCATAAGCCTTTCAACAAATAGCATGAGGAACCACAGAGGATCATGCCTTCATTAGGAGTTCAAACTTCACTAGGTATTCTAATCCTTTCATTCCAAGGAAGGGAATTCTGTTTGCTTCCCCTTGCCCCTCCTTGCCCCCATTTTTCCCCGCCCCTCTGGTAACCATCTACTGGTTCTCTGTATTTATGGGTCTGTTTCTCCTTTTTTGTGTTTGTTCAGAAGGACGAAGTTTCTTTTTTTTTAATTTTTTTATTTTTTTATAAACATATAATTTATTTTTATCCCCAGGGGTACAGGTCTGTGAATCACCAGGTTTACACACTTCACAGCACTTACCATAGCACATACCCTCCCCAATGTCCATAACCCCACCACCCAGGAGGAAGTTTCTTAACACATCATTCTTAGACCCAGAATTTCCAAAAGAATTGAACCTCTCCTTTCAGCCCAGGTCATGATCTCACGATCTCATGAGCTCCCTGCTCAGTGCTGAGTCTGCTTCAGACTCTTTCTCTCTCTCCCTATGCCCCTGCCCGCTCAGTCTCTCTCTCTCTCTCTCTCTCAAATAAATAAATAAAATGCTACAAAAGAAGAAGAAGAAGAATTGTACCTGTCTTTACAAAAGGAAAGATGGTTCCGAGGGTACCAGCTCAGGATTTGCAAGCTAAGACCAGTGGGATTTATCATGGTAAGGCAAAGCTAGATTAGAACATACCTTACCCATTCCTTCTTTATTTGTTCTTCATTCTGTAAATCTTTACTGAGTCTTTACCATGTGCCAAGCTCCCCCAGATCCTCATGGTTGAACAGTTATGAACAAAACCGATAAAAGAATTTTCTCTCAAGGAGCTTAATTCTAAAAGAAAAGACAGATAATCTTTTAACATACATAAAATATGGAGTAGGTTAGATACTAACAAGTATCATGAAGAAAAAGAAAACAAAGTGAATTGGGGTCCGTAGGCAATGGGGCATTTCTGTGTTACATGGGAGGTCATGGAAGTCTTTACTCAAAATAGCCCTTTTCAGTAAGACTTCAGGGCAAATGAGAAAGTTGAGAACTAAGGTTACATTTTCCAGATGAAAAGAAGAGACTGGAGTCCTGGACAGGGATGGCTTGGCCTGTTAGACCTTCACAAAGAGGCCAGTGTAGCTAGAGCTGAGATAGAAAGATAGAAAGAGACATAATGAGGGACTCTGCAGACAGTAAGCTATTGTCAAGATTCTGGCTGTTTCTCTGAGTGACATGGGAACCGTGGAGAGTCCTGAGTGAATAATTGTATTTAAAAAGATCACTCTGGGGACACCTGAGGGCCTCAGTTGGTTAAGCCTCCAACTCTTGATCTCATCTCAGGTTTTGATCTCACCATTGTGAGTTTAAACCCCCGTGCTGGGTTCCGCGCTGGGTGTGGCATCTACTTAACAAAACAAGAAGAAGGAGGAGAAGGAAAAGAAGAAAAGAAAGAAGATTACTCCGCTAGATACCCAACTGGGGGATGCCTGGGTGGCTCAGTCGGTTAAGCATCTGCCTTGGGCTCAGGTCATGAACCCAGGGTCCTGGGATCGAGTCTGGCATCAGGCTCCTTGCTCGGCAGGGAGCCTGCTTCTCCTCCTGCCTGCCACTCCCCCTGCCTGTGCACTCACGCTCTTTGTCTTCCTGACAAATAAATAAATAAAATCTTTAAAAAAAAAAAAAAAAAGCCACCTGGGAGGCAAGGACAGAATCAAGAAAATAGGGAGCTTTCTGGGGCATCTTCCTGACTCAGTTGGCAGAGTATGCAACTCTTGATCTCAGGGTCATGAGTTCAAGCCCCACGTTGGGTGTAGGGTGTGGAGCTGTTTTAAAAAATATAAAAAAGTAAAAATTCTGAAAATAAAGACAAATTCATCTCTTTCCTTCAAAAAACGAAAAAATAGGAAAAAAGAAAATAGTAGGCCTATTGCAATTATCCAGGAGAGAAACGACCTGTAAAAGGAAAAATAAATAAACTAGGCTTCATGAAAACTAAAACCATTTGCTATGCGAAAGATCCTTGAAGGAGTGGGAAAAGACAAGCTACAGACTGGAAAAAAAGATTTGCAAACCTCATAAGCCAACAAACACATAAAATCTGTAACATGTAAAGAACTCTCAAACTCAGAGTAAAAAAGGAAACAATCCAATTGGAAAATGGACAAAAGACTGGAAGAGATGTTTCAGGGAAGAGGATGTCCAGACAGCAAATAAACACATGAATTGCTGTTTCATGTCATTAGCCATTAGGATCATGTGCACGAAAGCCTCAGTGAGATACCTATCAAATAGCTCAAATAGCTCAAATAAAAAGCCATGACAATACAAAATGCTGAGGAGAATGGGAAGATACTCCATGTGCCAAGCTCCCTAGATCATTCACACACTGCTGGTAAGAACAGAAAATGACAGCCATTCTGGAAAGTATGGCACTCTAGAGACCTATGGATGGCTCAGTCAGTGAAGCATGTGCCTTCAGCTCAGGTCATGATCTCAGGGTCCTGGGATCGAGCCCCACATCGGGCTCCTTCTCAGCAGGAAGCTTGCTTCTCCCTCTGCCCTCTGCCTCCACTTGTTCTCTCCCTCTATCTCACAAATAAATAAATAAAATCTTAAAAAAAAAAAAAAGATTATGGCATATTCTTAAAAAAACAAACAAAAAAAAAAAAAAAAAACTAAACGTGCAACTACCATCCAACCCAGCAAATTGCATTCTTGGGCATTTGTCCCAGAGAAAGGCAAAGCCTGTTCATAAAACATACACATGAATGTTGGTAACAGCTTATTCACAATAGCCAAAACCTAGAAACAACTCAGATATCCTTCA